CGACCGAATGAATGCAGCATAGACGCTGAGGCTCGAGTATGGACTTTTAAACTGGTTCACGTGCCTCTTAACAAAGCCCAGCATAGCATACGCTTTAGGTAAAATGTAGTCTAAGTGACCCGAAAATTTAAATTTGCTGTCGAATAAGACACCAAGGTCTAACACCTCTTCTTTAGCTGCCAAATTATAATTGTTGATGGAATAACCCGTACAGATTTCAAGAGACCGCCTACTGTAACGGGTAAACAAACACTTAGATAAGTTTAATGGAAGAAGAGTTGGCGGAGCACCATGAGTAAACTCTGGATATATCCTCCTGTAACAAGTAACTGTCACTAATGCAGCTAATCTCTTTATAGATTTTAAGGTCATCCGCATACATTAAAAGTGCGAATGACGAAAGCATGACGAGATGTCATTAATGAAAATTATAAATAGAAGAGGTCCAAGAGAGCTGCCTTGTGGAAGACCAGAGGAGGTGACAAATGGACTTGAGATAGCGTCTCCAACAGTAACGTGGCAAGGTCGGTCAGCCAGATAAGACTCGAACCAACTTAATAGGCAGGAATGAATACCTAATTTATATAATTTGGCCAGAAGGGCAGCATGACACACTTTGTCGAAGGCTTTGGAGAAGTCGGTGTAAATGGCATCAACCTGAAATCGGTTTTCAAAAGCTTCAAAGCAGTGCTTAGAAAAGACAGCTAAATTAGTGGTAGTGGACCTCCCAGGCAGAAAACCATGCTGGTTGGGGGATATGAAATTGCGAGCCAGAAAAGTCAATTTTTAGTTACTATCCGCTCCAGTATCTTAGCGACGTTGCAAATTTTGGCTATAGGTCGATAGTTAGTAACATCACACCTACTGCCACCTTTGTGAATAGGCGATATAGAAGTAATCTTCCACCGGTGGGGGAATCTACCAGAAGAGAGCGAAAAGGAGAACAGCAGTTGAAGGGGAGTAGAAAGAGAAGCGATACTCCTCTTAAGAAAGAATGGGGAGATACCGTCCACGTCAGGTGTGAGCGACTCGGTCAGATGTCCAGTGGCTTCAACTAGGTCACCGTCCAAAACGTCCATGTTACTCACATTAAGAAAAGGCTCAATGCTAAGAAGAGTTTCATGATCACTCCAAGGAACCTTCGGCTCCAAGTTAGAGGCAAAGTATTTTGCAAAAGATCAGAAACGCCCTGATCCGAGTCGGCTGCTAAATTACCATAACATATGGATGAAGGTATGTCCGATTTTGACTTTTTGCTGTTAACAAACCGCCAAAAAGCTTTAGGATTGGATCGAAGGCTAGCTTCGACATCGGATATATACTGATTGTAGAGGAACTTATTAAGGAAATCAAATTCCCGCTTAAATTGCCGGTACAGCTCTCCTGCTCGAGTCTCACCTGTCAATATGAATCGTTTGTAGTGCTTATCCTTTCTATTCTTTAAGTTTTTTAAACCTTTTGTGTACCAGGGAAGCCTATAGGATCTTCGTACCCTCACAGGGGCATAAGTATCAATAATATTAAAAAGGGCAACCAAGAACTTAGTATAACAATCATCGATTGAGCCATCCGAAAAAAGGGAAACCCAATCAAAGGCTGAAATAGAGGCGTTAATAAGTGACAAGTTAGTATCATTCAGATGATAATATGGAATGGGGGAAGCAGAAGGCAAAAAACTATAAAACTCAATATTAATTACCAACGGCTTGTGGTGCATATCACAAGGACTTAATGGTACATTGCATAATTCTACTGTACTATTAATCAAATTATTTAAAAATATAAGATCAAGAATTTTGGATAAATCATTAAAAATATTATTTACTTGGGAGAGGCCCAGACTAAAAATATCATCTAAAACTACAATTTCATGACTCTGGTGAACGTTGCTAGGTAGCATGCAGGGAGATTCCGGGTCCCAAGACCAGACAATGGAGCTCAGGTTGAAATCGCCAGCTACCATCAAAGCGGTAGGGTCCGACGTTCTAGCACAGACACTAGTGATGTTTTCCATATGCGCATGATATATACTGAATGCGCTGTTCGGAGGGATGTATGATGCAATGATGACGAACGGGCCATGGACGCCCTGGATTGAGACCGCAAGCTGATCCAGTAAAGGGTCGGCCACCGGAAGGCGCAGTGGTGTAGCCTGAAGAGATCGACGGATAGCGATGATCACACCTCCACCTCGCTCACACTGGGTACTGAATGCATCTCGGTCCTTTCGAAATACATGGTACAAATTAGGCTCGAAGAACTCAGAGGAGCTGAATTTGTCATTGAGCCAGGTTTCCACAAGGATGATTACATCAAAATCGCAGGCAGAAGAATTGAGGAATACCATCCGGGTCTTGGTTCTCATTCCCGATATATTTTGGAATAGAACTTTTAGGCTTTTATTAGGGTCCAAGGACGACGAGTAGCTACAGTCCAAACTGGGAATTGGACGGCAAGGCGGTGATGGTGAAAGTGCACTCCTGGTACTGGTGCATGTGGAGGCATATCCAATACGCATAGCTTGCAAAATAGCCGACAAGGACACATAGAAATTTCCATTAGACTCATCAGTAGACCAGCGAGAGTCCAGTAGCAAGGCAGATTCCGTGCCAGGTGAAAACATTGAGCGTTCATATTCAGGCACATCCAAACGCAGCAAAGATCCACCCACGGGTCCAAAACGTAAATAAACATCTTCCATCGGCGAAAAGAAAGCACCAGCGAGTGGCCCAACGAAAAGAGATAAGATAAGCGATGCGCTGCCAACGTCTCGATTACCATCGTCTTGTTGTTGCTGGGCATCCACAAGAAGTGAAGATAAGAAATAAACAACTCGCCTTGAAAAAAGTTGTTGTTGAAGAATATAGATCAGCAAACGAAGCCAATTATTGGAGGAATTGAAGACAGCGTCAACCGTTACCATGAACGCCCACGCCGATTGTTGTTGGTGGCGCAGCGAGAGCAATCGGGGTGACGAACTGCAGCTTGAGAAGAAAACGATGTAACGGCGCCAGCGGCGCCGCTTACTGGGGGTTTTTGAAGATTGCGAATGCGGTAAAGGTAGAATCGCCGGGAGGTCAATAACCTTAGCCGGCTCTCTATGAACAAACCGGCTGACTTTTACCGACATAGGCCAAAATCGTCATTGAAGACTGTTGGGAAATTTTGCTCCGGAACTCCCAATTTAAAATTGACGAACTTGAGGGCGTTGATGTCAGCATCCTTTTTGATCAGCCTAGCACAGACTAAATCATTGGGCTCCACGTTCAGCTTATCTGCGACAAATTTGCACAATGCATCCGGTTGGGTAGACGTCGCGAATTTACCCCATGAAGGTATTTCAAGGTGGGAAGCACTTGAAGTTGAGCGCAACTGGGAGCTTGTCCCAGAATGCGCCTATTAGGGTTGATCCGCTTCTTCTTCTTCGGGACAGCCCCTTAGATGCCGTTGGGGCCTGCCCCAGAGCAGCCTTTATGCTCCCTGTGCTGGTGGGCATAGCAGGGGAGCAACAACTTGCACCCCAGCCGAGGAGGCGCGTCCAGCGGGCACAGCCGCTCCATTTACCAGGGCTAGGTCAACTTTGGCATTAAGGCTTTCGAAGCGGGACTCCAGATCTTGAACTTTATGATTTAGCTCATCAATTTTGGAATGCGAATCATTTCCAATGACGCAGCTATCACATTGCCACATTAAGTTCGGAATGTTAATAAGTAGTTTTATAGCCTCCGAGGGCAAATCAACACAAGCGGTGTGATAGGCACGCCGGCAGATCGACGCGCACCTAACGGCCTCACACCCACGAAGTTGGGTAGCAGTAACTTCTGCACTGCACTCGGTGCAAACGAGAGGCGACATGAGCGAAAAAGTAGACGTCCGAACTCAAAGAAAGCTAGATGAAGACTTGGATCAGTGAACAGTGAATTATCACTGTGAATGAAACGCAATAGTACATATCCTAATTTGAAAGTTAAAATTAAATTAAAAATTATGAACCTTTAATAAAATTTCCCAATTATATGATACTAGAATCTAGTAACTAGATGGTACAGGTCCTGACAAAGGAAGACAATATGTTTTATTAAATAACAACATCAAGAATATATTTGTTTTAAAAATCGAAATTTATGGTTCTACATATAGAGTCTAAATAGCTGTATTTAGATAGAAAATTTCTATTAGAAATATCATGTTATACTATAGATATTATAAGTTATAGTAATAGAAAATTGTTTATTATTATAGTTACTAAAAAAGAGAAGAAAAAAGCTGTTTTTCCTATAATTTCCCTCCAAAAAATTCTCCACTTTTATACATTTTTTAGTCCCTCTTTTAACTTTTAACCACTTGGCCATTAAATCGCAAGCGTAGTCCATTGTGGTCTCTAAACCATATCGCATTTGGCCAAAATACACGAAATTGCAGGCCAAATTTAATTACGCGCATAATCAACAAGCCAGCAACAACCACACAGGATATACATACATACATATACTATAATACCCATGTATGTATAAACGCATTAAAATTTTGGCCGAAAGGCAAAAATAATGCTCATGCCGCTTGGCTGGTTGATTAAAAATTGATCAAAAAACATCAAACAAACAAATTATGCATGGCTGTGTGCTGGTGTGGCGGGGAATTGATTAAAAAGAGCAATTCGATTGAAATTTTATTGGTAAATTGAATAAAGTACGCCCGGCCGAGTTGGCCGAGTTGGCAGAAAACTCCTTTTTTTTTGCCCAAAACCACCAGCGGAAAATGCCATTATCCTGGCGCATGTTTTGTGTGTCTGGCTGGGAAAGTTAATGAATATATTGAATGGCCAAATGAGTGAACCGGAAGCAGGAGCTGGGGCAGGACATGGGCCAGGACATGTACCAGAAAAATAGTCCGTTTATAAATAATGCCATTTTGTGCCTCTAATTGCTTTTTAAAGTTTCTTAAATTTATTACCATTGACCTCATTTATGTTTTAAAATTAAAATTAAAAACTAACTCACCTTCCTGTTTAAGCAGCGAGTGCCTACTGGCAGGTCCTTGCTTTTTAAAGGACTTTTTGGAATCCAAATCCCGTTCCCTCTCTCTTTCTTGATCTTGATCCTGGTTCCTTTGGTCCTGGAGGGCGGCTGCTGCGGCCGCAGCATTGGCCCGCTGCATTAGCGCCATCTGGCGGAGCATGTAGACCGAGGAGGAGGTACTGCCGCCACTTCCGGTGCCGGGCCCTGGCCCAGATCCAGTTGGACTTAGAAAGGGCGACCAGCCGGGCACGCGCAGATTGGCGGCAGCGGCAGCCGCATAAAGTTGCAACGCGGACGCTGCCTGCGGATGCGGATGTGCGGATATGGGACTGTGGGATGCCACCTGGCCGTGGACTTGGGCCTGGGCGGCAGCGGCCAGTTGCAATTGTTTGATTAATTGATCCATTTTTTGGTTCTTGTATCTAGTAGATGCAGTATCTAGTGTAGCATCTAGTATGTTTTGGTATATTCCAACTACCGGGTATTTGTGGTATTTTTGAAGGCTTAAGTTTTATGTTTTTGGTTTCCTTTTCTTCGTTTTTTTTACTTATTTTTTTAAGTTTTAATATTTATTTTAAATTTCACAGTTACTTAAATTTTATATCTTAAGTTCATAAAACTTTAAACTTAATTTAAGTTTTCAGTTCTTTTATGATTTTTTATCCTTTTATTCTCTAATTTAGATATTTTTATTAAAAAAAAATATTTTTTAGTTAATAAGTAGAGTTACCACCTTTTGTTAATATATTTCATTTAATTTTTATAACTTTTCTGTGATATCCTTGTTCAAGGATATCGACTGTATTTGAACTTGATAGCTCCAACACACACACACACACACACACTGACACACAGACACTTTGACACTGACACTAATAAAAAATTGGCCCGCATCCGTGTTTCTTAGGGGATCCTTTTGGGGATAGGCATCGGCGTGGTGGTAGTGAGCCGCACAGTGGATCCGGATCGGCCGAGTGTGCCCACTGTGCCAAAATGGTCGACTCTGTGCAGCGGCCGCGGCGGCGGCGACAAACAAATTGATTCGAATTAAAATTACGCCCGTAGTGGAGCTCCGTAGTGGAGTGGAAGTGGAGCTGGTAGCTTGGTAGCTGGTGGCTTTGGAGCGTGGAGCGTGGAGCATGGAGCCTCTCGGTACCTACCGGAAGGTATGTGTAGCTGGGAGCGCGCTTGGGGAGTTGTTTGTGGATTTTGTGCGAGCGAGACAACTGGCCCCTCCCCCCCGTGCCACTGGAGCTTGGCCGCGTTGGAGCGAGATGCACTGCCAGCCGGAGATCTCTGACGTTTAAATGAAAAATGTGCAGAGAAGCTACAGTCTTTATTGCTGTTTTTGTCCTTTTGTGTTGTATTTGTTTGTTTAATAAAAAAAATGCATACATACGTGTGGAAGCATATGGATGAGGGGGGAGAGGGGAGGTGGAGCAGGTGGCGAGCGAAGAAGTGGAGAAAAAGAAAAAGTGTCACCACTGCTTTGGTTGGCTGCTCTCCGTGTTAAAAAGTGAGATGGCGACACCTGCTGCTGCCTCTGCTGTTGCTGCTGCTGCTGCAACAACTACAACACTTTCAACACTTGCTGGTCAGCTGTTGTTTTATTTTTTATTTTATTTTTATTTTTATTTTTTTAAGCAAGCAAAAATCATTAACACTGAAATTTATGTGCGCCAAAGCGAGAAATAACAAAGCGAACAAGACGATAAGGGGGATGGGATGGCAAGTGGAAGACAAGTGGGGGGGCTCCCAGAATCATCATCAGCAGAGACTGTGGCAGCGGCAGAGACAGAGCGACTGCGACTGCGGCAGAGCAATAAAAAGAAAAATGGTTTCACTTAACAAACATTCGAAGGCGCCGCCGTCCGCAAAACGCAAATGCAACACCCCCCGCCCGCAACAATCCTCCACCGCCCCCGCCACCCAGCCCATTCCAGAGCCCCCTCGCCCAGCCACCCAAAAAATGGCCAATGCAATAATGGTATATTTTTCTGGCTCACTGAGTTGCGAGAGTGTGCGTGAGCGAGAGAGAGAGAGAGAGAGAGCGACGGCAGGACACAGGGAGCCAGCTGGCAGGGGGGAGGGAGAGTCAGTGAGTGAGTGAGAGAGAGAGAGCAGTGCGCAACAGTCCCTTCTGGGTTTGTGAAAATGAAATGAAAAACGTTAAAAAAAATTGATTTAAAGTGAATCGCAGTGTGTGTGTCAGTGCGGTGAGAGAAACTCTCACCAAAAGAAAGTCTCCAGCAGCGAGAGAGACAGCTGCATACAGAGCCCATGCAGGAGCGAGCGAGACAGCTAGAGGCAGCTGGGCAGGCGTGGCCAAGTGAAAAATACTGGGAAATTTTGACTACACAACGATTATGGCCAATTTAAGCTGGCCAAGACAAAGCCAGTTAAGAAGAATAACAAAAAGAAAAGAAGAACTTGAGACAGAGACAGTGTAAGAGAGAGAGAGAAAGCTGGGCAGCGCTGCTTCTGTGGGCAGAGGAAAAACTGACATTTTATTGATTGTTTTATGCGATTATAATGTAATAATGTCTTAAATATGCAATGGACTGAGGATACCACCCCTCACCCCCCACCCACATCCATCCTGGCACACACTCTTCTTTGGAGAGTTCTCCAATTGGAGTTCATTGCGCAGCTGCCGTCTTTGGAAATGAATTATGGCAGCGCGTGTGCGAAAGAGATGGCCTGGCCGAAACGAGAGAGCCATATATGGGGGAGTGCTGACCAACTCCCCCCCCCTCAAGCACTTGGCCCTGTGATTGGGAAAAAAAAAATAATAAAATAAAAAGAATTTTCCAATTTTTCTACACTCTCTTGTGCTTCCTTCTTCTTCTTCTACAGCCTGCCACCCACAATATACCATTGCGCGACCCCCTTCCCCCCGCCGCCTAACCATCTCGGCACTCAACTCAATTCAATTAATTTTCACTTGATTTTTCCACACACAAACAAATTTTCATTTAATTTGCTGCGGGGCGTTGGTTGGCTGACTTTTCTCTTTAGCTTTTCCATTTCCTCGCCCATTTTCCTCGCCTTTTCTGCCTCTTGCCATTCCTGTTCTTTTTTTTTTTGGTTTTGGCTGCTCCATCATCCGCTTATCGGACGCCATTTTCTTGCGCTTGATTTTCTATTAAGTTTTCCAGCTCTATTCCCCAAACAACTTTTCTCTGCTAATAGGGGCACACAGGACCTGCTCCTCCCCCTGGCCCACGCCTCCTGCTTCCTTCTTCTTGGCTTTCCCATCCTTTTAAGATCCTTTCTTGGCTTCTTTGTAGTTGTAGAAAAGTAAATTTGTTGCGACACTTTGTGGCAATTTGATTATTATGTAGTGGCATCTTCACTTGGAAACACTATGATTTGCTAATATTATATGATTCTAATAGGTTTTAATGGGTCTTATTAGGGTTGCAAATAGGTCGAGTGTTCTAGGGATATAAATAAGAGAACAAATCTGTTTCTAAATCTGTATTTCAATACCTTCAATACCAGTATCATATTCGAGGATTTGGGGTTAAATACTACATATGTATGTATGTACTTATAAAGTCTTATCCTTATTTATCTTGACATTTTTATTTAACATAAATCTATGATTTGCTAATATTATATGATTCTAATGGGTTTTATAAGGGTTTCAAATAGTAATAGTATTCTAGGGATATAAATAAGAGAGAATAAGATATATAGTAAGAGAAAAATGAGTTTCTTCAATAATTTTTGAGAATTTTTGAAGGAAAAATGTTACTTGTGTACATATGAATAATAAATAGTAACCTTATATGTACTTATATCTTAACATGTCTCAAAAGAAATAAATATAAACTAAACAAATGTATCCAAAAAATCAACATTATCTTGGAACCCTATAATTTTACTATTTTGTTCGTTTTTAATAGATTTTGTTCACTTTTATTAGGTATATTAAGAGTTAGAAATAGTTATGGTATTCGCTATCCCCAGTATCACATTCGAGGATTTTAACCCCAAATCCTACATATTTACTTAAAAAATCTTAGCCTTATCTATCTTGACTTATCCTTATCTAAGTCATCTTCATTTTAAACCACTATGATTTGCCAAAATTATTTGGTTGGAATCGGTTTTATAAGGACACAAATATTTAAAGTATTTTTGAAATTCTGGAGAACCCGGAACTAAATAAATAAAATATTTTTGAAACCGCCAAAACTTAAAATCTACAAAACTACAAATGACAGATTAAAAAATATAAAATTAAAAACATTCAATAATAAAGAGATATATGTAGGTATATGGGTATATAAATATCGAATATTTTTTAATATAGTATAGATAGATAATATAGAAGCTTCAAAAACTGAATAAAACTTAAAAAATAACCAAAAACTTGAACCCTTGAATTAAATCCCCAGAAACAAAGAATAATTGGTGCATATGAGAGGGATAGAGGTCACCAAGGTCGCATTTCAAATTAATTACATTCTAGGTAATTATATTTTAAATGGATTCGCTGTTTAATTATGGCTGCTGGCCTCCATTAATATAAGCCACTCCACCTTCCCTCCCCCACCTCTAGCTATTTTATTTTTAATTTTTTTTAAATGACATAATGTTTTTGGGGTTTCGCTTCATTTACTTGGTTTATCAAATCGTTGCAATCGCAAATCAATTATTATTAAAAGCGCATTAAAAACAATAAAAATGTCATTATAGCAAACACGGAAAGCACATAAAAAGTATATGAATATTCAATACAGGCGAACGAATGAGCAGGAAAAAATATATATAACAAATACCACTAAATGAATATTAAGTTTTAATCATTTCGCATTCACATTCGATTAACTAAATCAAGTCCCATTCGGACTGTGCCTCTTATCGCCGCATATCGACAGAGCCCCATCCCCATCCCCATCCCCAGGTCCAGGTCCGCCCCCGCCTGTGTCTGACTCTGATTTTTATTACACTTTATTATTATTTACCTACTGTCGACTAATTTGTTTTTAATTTGTGCTGATAAAATTTATGAATAAATAAAATGGACAGCGAGCAAATAACGAAATTAATAAGTGCCACTGGGGCCGAGGCAGGTGGGTGGGTGGCAGGTATCTAGGGGGTGAACAGGTGACGGGGGCATGGAGTTACCAAAATGCGGGGCAATCACTGGAATTGTGACATTAGTTGCCCGATTGATTTGTCAAATCATAAACATTTATTGAAGTCGCATTTGTCAAAAAAGCCATGGCTATTTCTACTCGGGTAGGGGTAAAATGAGGGTTACGAGCGGTATTACCATTAAGAGGTCAGGGTGTTTCGGCTATATAGTTCTATCAAATGTCCTATAGCAAGGACTTTACAATAGGAAGTCCATTATCAAGCTTACCTTATCATTTAAAAGAAATATGGTCTAAA